CCTTTTAGCTCTTACTTCCTCAGAGAAACAGTCTTTGATCCCCTAGATTCATTATGGTTATTAATGCTTCTACTTATTTTCAGAGCAATAAAAAACAATGAAAACAGACCAGGCTAAAGATTCTTAAAAATGGGTAGTTATTGGCATACGAATGGGATAAGTGGAGTAAGAGGAAATGAGACCACTGTACCAAATCACTAGGAGGTAATTCTCCTGGAGAGTGACTGAGAAGAAATAACTTGAGAAATAGGGAAAAATACCAAAGAATATGTGGTCCACATGTCAAAAGTAGCTTTGGAAAGAATGTGTTCAACTATGTCAATTAAGTGAAGTCAGTCTTCATTGACTGAGCAACATGAGTATTTACAGCAATAGAAATTAGCAAATGCTATAGATCTGGGCATATTTTGTGATTCTGTTTTGCAGTATACTCAAAAATGTGATAAACAAACTGTTGACAATTATCCTTAAAGTGTGCTAAAGTCTACAGCCATTTCATAATAAAGAGCAGAAAAGATTGAGCGTATATATTCCTCTAATATGTGAAAGCTATCATCCTATTCAGTAAAATTGCTCATGTTATTATTAAGTGAATTCAGACATATATTTTCATATTCACTTCAGTTTTTCTTTTTAGCAACAAATGAGAAATATTAACCAACATTCATATGGACATTGCATTCATTCATCAGTTGCAGCCATCAATTAGTAACAGATACAAGAATGGCAAAGATCCGTGAAATCAGTGATTGTGAGAATTAATTAGTCATAAGGATTTTATAATAAAGAACACTAAATATTTTATTGTTACTTATAAATTATGTGCCACACATCTATTTTATTAATAACATTTATAAAAAATATTTAGGTATCCTATAGATGCATACAGTACAAGCAAACAAATACTGATAGTATAATATCACAAAAAAAGTTTACCATGCCTGCATTTCAAAATAATATTCAAATTGTTCAGCCTTTAGAAAATATTGAGAGTTTTTAAAATCTGAATATTTTTAAAACCTAATAACTCATAAATTCATGGGATCTATACATTGACACTGGGCAAAGCAAGTTTTCACTTAAAGTTTTAGTGATAACTACAGATGTCAACATACTGGGTAGAATGATTAGACTGGCTTGAATTTATAACCCTAGATGTGTAAAGAATCAACTAAGTATTTTTTATTGTTTGGTTGGTTGGTTGGTTGGTTGGTTGGTTGGTTGGTTGGTTGGTTTGTGACAGGGTCTCACTATGTATTTCTGGCCTGCCCTGAACTCACTATGTAGCCCAAAGTGACCCCAAACTTGCAGCAATCCTCCTGCTTCTGCCTTCCAAATACTGAGATTACAGATGTGCACCATCGCATTGGTTTGTTCACAATCTCAGCCTTGCAGAAAGTTACAAATACAGAACCAAGAACCTTTTCACTAAGCTATGAGAGTAAGCTGCCCCATTACTTATGAGTTAGTACTCCCTAAAAAGGAGGACATCCCCTTAAATATCACAATACAACCATCAAAATCAAACAGCAATCACCTTTTGTCTATTGTTCCAATAAAGTCTTTTATTATGCAAGGACCTGGATATAGCCTGAAATATTTTTTGAGATTTTATTTGCATTTTATAATTCCAAAACTTTCAAAGACTATAAGGTAGCAATTTTCTGGAATCTGTCTCGGTTTAGAAGGGTTGGGTGTTTTCTCTTGGCATCATGACAGGCATCTCTAACAGGAGTATCTTAGACATGATGCTGTGTTCACTACATCATAAGGAAAAGCCCATCAATTAATTTTGCCTCATTTCTGATGAGCTGACTTCAGTTGCTTAAGTTGATTTTTTCCATACACTTCCATGATATACTCAATCTTCCTTTCATGTGTAATCAATACCTATTTTGTAAGAGAGAATTGTTTAGCAACTCTTCTGGGTATTCATTTACTGTTTATATTCATAAGGGTGAATTGCTTTGTTCCAATGGTAGGTGACTCCTAATCTTGTTTATCTTGCCAAGTGTCCTGTAGGTTGCCAGTGGAAGCTCTTCAAGCAAGTTTCTGCTGTCTTTCAACTCACCTCCATTATTCTTTGAACCTTTCCTCCTGTTTTTCTGTCCTGTCCCTGTAATCAATCCATTTTTTCCCAAGAACTCTGACTCCTTTTGGTGGAAAACTTTATTTAGAAACTAAAACCAGAGAATTAAATATACTTTTTTGCTAATTCGGTCTCTGAGAGAAAAAAACACAGGACTATAATTCAGGCACACACACGATATTTACTCCTATATCCCTGTAACCTATGTCACATCTACTGAAAATCATGAGTTCACGTCAGATCTCCAATTTTATGGCTTCCTCCAGGTCCCTGTTTAGAACTCCCTTCTCTGGAAGTGAGAGACCTATTCTCAAGGTCCTCAGATGAATACTGACTTCTTTTCCTCAGCTGTCTGTGCCTACTAACCCAGCTTCCTCCACATATAGAGACCTCAGGCTGGGCTGCTGCACCCCATGCATCCCCCTAGGGTTCACCGAGGCCTGTCTGAAGTCCCAGGCCCCGGTCCTCCTGAGGGCTGCCTCCACATTACTCTGGCTCCAACCCTCCGGCATGGGGACCTACCCGTCCCTTTCCCAACCTCAGACTCCAGCTTCTTCAGCCTCACCTGAAGGGAGAGAAGGAAGACCAGACAGGAAGGGACCGGAAGAAAAACAGCCCCTGCTTATGGAATACTCTGATTTGCTCACCTAGAAAGTGAGATTTGCTTTTAAAAAGTAATAGCACTAATGACTATCTCCAAAGCTGGCCAGTGAAGACCAACATTCTATTTATTCAAACTGCCAAAGTAAACCCAAAAGGAAATTAATATTTTGTGGTTACATAGTCAGATAAAAAGTTCCAAGGATGCAGGGCCTAGGAAACTGGACATGCTGTGCATCTAGGAGCCACAGGATGGGGAAGGCAGAACTTTCAGCTGAAAACCTGTAGGTGATACAGCTGGGGAAAGTCGGTATACTGGAAATCAAAAACACAAGACAGCAGATAGTGCTTCTAGGTTGCAGCTGTTTACACTGTCATACATACACAGATGATGGTCAACAATGCCTCTCATTTTGACACCTACATCTACTAGCAATTGTTTTTTGGAGTAGCACATATTGCTCACTAGGGTCCTTTGTAGCAACAGCATTCTTAGTTGATTTCAATAGTACTCCCAGTTATGGAAATATTAGTGAAGTTTTGCCCTCTTCCCAACATAAAATGACATTTTTCTATTTTAATCAATGTTTTTTTTAAATTGAGGTTTGGGTTTTTCTGGGTTTGTCTGTCTTTAACGTGTTTCTTTTAGCAGTGCCCAAAGACCCCACACACCAGTAAACAAAGATAAAGAAGAAACAGCTGCAGAATGATACAGTAGGCATCATGTCAGAGCACTGTGTAGTCTTCTGTATCTTTATGGGACACAGGAACTCATCCGCCTAATGGCAGAGTTATTGCATTGCTGAGTTCTAAACTGGTTGGATCAAGCCCCCGTGAGTACCAGAAAGACATCTTCCAGCCTCTCTGGGGCCTGTGGTGACACTGTCCACAACACGATCCCGGCTGCTGTTTTCACCATCTTTCAAAGTCTAGGAAACTTCTTGTTCGAAGATCGTCCCTGCGAAAGTCTGAAGCAGCCTGGGCTGTAGCAGGTGGCAACCAACTTCCGACCTGCGATGGCGCCGGAGCTCGGGGCGCAGGCCCGGGCGCGCTGGGCGTAGGCTGGGGCGTGCCTGGCCCGGCTCCTAGCGGGCGCTGTGGTGTGTGCAGACGGGCGCGGCGGGGCGAGCGCGGTCGGAGAGAGGAAAGTGCTCTCCAAAGCTGGCTCCCGACCTCGCCAAGGACCTCCCGGGTTTACGCCGGGGGAGTCCACACCCTGACTAAACAGAGGAGCAGAAGAGACTTAGGCTGCGGTTTCCGGGCGTGTGCCGAAGACGCACGCGCGGTAGTCAGCCAAGGCCTCCGAGGCCACCGAGGCGGAGGGACAGCAGCTCCGGCTCCGCAGTCGTGGAAAGTGTTCGGAACCGCAGGGAACGCAGGCCCTTTTAGTTTAGTTTGGCCACCTGCTTTTGCAGTGTGTTTGATCAGGAGTCCTGCTGTTTTTATGTGGAAGCTGTGCATACTATTGTAAGCTATCCTTGCCCTCAAATTACATTCTGCGGAGGGGTTTCTGCCGGGTGGGCTGGGGTTCCACCCGGGTGGGCCGCCGGATTGGGGTGTCGACGGGAAGCAGCTCTGGAGACCGGAATTGCCGGGCAGTGACCAACTCACGGCTTCACTTTCCCTTAGGAACAAGATTATGTAGCGAAAAAAAAAAAAAACATGTGCTCCTAAAGCAAGAGGTGGAGAGGTGGTAAAATTAAGAAACTTATTCTGAGACAGCGAATGTCCTTCTCTCCTTTTATTTGCATTTTATACTAGAGACACTCGGTAGTTAGGAACTACAGAACTGAGGGCGCAGAAATGATGGGCTATGTGTACGTAAATGTATCTGCACGTCTGCGATTTGCACCTTCGGGGGCCACAGGGGAGCTGCGATCCCGGCCCGGAGGCCCCAGGGCCGGCGGGTGCGCTCCGCCAGGCCGAGCCAGCCAGGAGCCCGTGGTGCCACTGCGCCCCCATCCCCCGCCACTGGGGCGTGACCCGCCCGGAGTCGGATTACAACCACGATTAACATATGAATTTTACGAACCTAAAAGAAGGAAGGAGAAGAGGAAAAAAAAAGGCGCGGTGCCGGGTCCTCAGCGCTTGCAACTTTCCCCGGGCGTCGGGCGTCCTTGATTGGCTGCCCGCACGCGCCGGCCGCGGCCCCCATTGGCTGCGCAGACACGCGACCGGCGCGCGGAGGGGGCCGAGAGGCACGGGAGTCGCGCTGGCGCGTGCCGCTTTTTAAAGGGGCGCAGCGCCTTCGGCAACCGGAGAAGCTTCGTTGCACGCGACCCGGTGTGTGATCTCCGAGTGTGTGGGGGAGGGTCGAGGAGGAGAACATAAGACGTGGCAGCAGAGCCCCGAGCAGATTTTCTGTGTGCGCGTGTGTGCGCGCGCGCTACCCGAGCCCGGTCGCCGCGCCTCCTCCGACCTGAACCTCCGCGCATTTGCTGCGCAATGTCCCGCTTGCTGCATGCGGAAGAGTGGGCCGAAGTGAAGGAGTTGGGGGACCACCATCGCCATCCTCAGGCCCACCACCTCTCGCAGCCCGCGCCACAGCCGCCTGCCGCCCTGCAGGCGAGGGACTATCCGGGGTACCCGGCCGAGCTGTCCCTCCTGGACGGCACAGACCCACGCGCCTGGCTGGCGCCCGCTCTGCAAGGCATCTGCACGGCACGCGCCGCCCAGTACCTGTTGCACTCGCCCGAGCTGGGCGCCTCTGAGGCCGCGGCGCCCTTGGAGGAGGCTGATGGCCGGGGGGAGCTGGGAAGGAGAAGCGGCGGGGGTGGCCTTAGCAAGAGCCCGGGGCCCGTGAAAGTCCGGGAACAGTTGTGCAAGCTGAAAGGTGGGGTGATGGTGGACGAGTTGGGCTGCAGCCGCCAGCGAGCCCCTTCCAGCAAACAGGTGAATGGGGTGCAAAAGCAGCGGAGGCTGGCGGCCAACGCCAGGGAGCGACGCAGGATGCACGGTCTGAATCACGCCTTCGACCAGCTGCGCAACGTTATCCCGTCCTTCAACAACGACAAGAAGCTGTCCAAATACGAGACGCTGCAGATGGCCCAGATCTACATCAACGCCTTGTCCGAGCTGCTGCAAACGCCCAGCGGCGGGGAGCAGCCTCCGCCGGCGCCAGCCTCCTGCAAAGGTGACCACCACCACCTCCGCGCGACGGCCTCCTACGAAGGCGGCGCGGGTACTCCGACAGCCGCAGGAGCGCAGCCGGGCTCGGGAGCCAGCCCGCGCCCCGCCCCGTCCGGGAGCTGTCGGACTCGCTTCTCTACCCCGGCCTCCGCGGGGGGTTATTCAGTGCAGCTGGATGCTTTGCACTTCTCGACTTTCGAGGACAGCGCCCTGACTGCGATGATGGCACAAAAAAACTTATCGCCTTCGCTGCCCGGGGGCATCCTGCAGCCCGGGCCGGAAGACTCTAGCAAAACCTCACCCCGGTCTCACAGAAGCGACGGGGAGTTTTCCCCCCATTCCCATTACAGCGACTCAGACGAGGCCAGTTAGGAAGTAGACAGAACCCTAGAAACTGAGGCAGAAGCCAACTGCCCTTTTCCCAGTGCGCGGGATCGCGCACTCTTTAATTTTGGCTCTGCCATGGTCGTTGTTTAGCAACGACTCAGCTTCTGATGGCAGCTACACTTGACGGTTTGCAAATGCCTCTGCTGTCCCAAACTTCTTGAGGTCTACATTGTCTGATGAAACCTTGCTGTTCAAGTTTTCCCTTTTCTCCCACTTTCTGCTTGCCCTATGGGTAGATGCGGTATAATTATTGTACTCAGACGCAGCATCCTGGTTGTAGTCCGTGCTGCCAATACGCTGCTAAAAAGTCGCATCTTCTGCTCTGTAGCTGATTTGGGTTCATTTTACCACCCTGGGCGTCCATCCCAGGGAGCTGCGCGCGCTCGTCTGTGGGAGAGTTTGTAAATTTGTGTCCCAAAATGCTGTATGAATTGCAGAGTCACTGCTTCCAAAGTGATGATCATTTTTGCTGCGGGACTGTTAGAAAACGGGGACCTTGCAGGGTCTGTGTATTGTACAAACATACCCGGTGTGTGTATCGGATCGCGAAAACGTTTGCGTCCTTCAGGAAACGGCGCACGCACTTTATCGGCCACTGCTGCTGCGACTCCAGGACAAATTCAACTGCCAATTGCAGACCAGTTTTTTGTTTTTTGTTTTGTTTTAAACACAGCCACTTACGATCTTTAAGCTCTTTGCAAATGTTTAACAATGAAAATTTTGAAAACACAAATAGTCGTGTCAAAAGCATTTGGTTAATTTTATTTTGCTTTGTTAGACAACTTATTTATTATTGTTTTCTACCATTTCTACTTATCTTGATTCGTTTTTTACATTTTCTATTCAAGATCATTTTATTTTAATTTAGCAAAGCCAGCCGCCATTGTTTTATGTATTTTATTTTGCAAATGATAAAAATAAACTTGAAAAATAACTTTCAGCTGTCACTTATTCCGTTCCTGTGTACCACTGTAAAGTTTTTAAATGACCTAAACGACTTGAAATAAGTCGTCTGTTAAATGAAAAGTGTATGAGTTAACGGCTTTGGAGAATGTTGCAAACTTATTGCCTTCAGATACTACCAGAAACTCTAGTAGAGAAACACTAGAGCTGATAAATAAATGGTGAGAAACTTTCCCCAAATTTGCAGCCCGAGTTTTGCCTTTTAAATAGCTGGGATTTTCCAGGGACCCACACTTTCTTCAAAGGAAAACACAATGCTTCAGATCTCCCTCTACTTAGTGGCTACTTTAGTTTATTAGGATTAACTGTTTTCACAAAAAAAAAAAAAAAGTCAAGCTGAAAACTGACTTTCTCTTCTTGCCCTGCTTTCCCCCTCAGTCCCTCCTTCCTCAGGCTCTCTCTCCGCTGCCGAGTAGGGTCCCTAAGCAGAAGAGGGGAGAATGGGAAGGAACTCCAGGAAAAGGGCGATATTGGTGATCATTCATTCAAAAAGTAAAGCTTCAATCCAGTCCTTCCTGCAAATCGTTGACTTCCTCTCATTTTTTCATTTTAAATGTCTCTGTTTCTTCCAACATAGAAGTTAGCCTCTGGCTTTATTTGCGCTTCTGAGTTCGCCTGTGTGCAGAAAACATCCAACTTTAGGGAAGGTCAGTTGCAGAAAGCTAACAGTGCTGTTCTTCTCCCTTCAGAGGTCCTCGCTAAGGACAAGTCTCACTGGGCTCGAGATCATAAATTTCAAAAAAGCCGACATAGTATGTGTATGAAAAGAGTAGAACAGGGATTTTTTAAAATAATTTCATTGGTAACATAAAGGGGCGGGACCACGTATTAAATAAACAGCATGTAGTGATGTTTAAACATCGTTGAATTTGAGAAGTTAATTTTAAGCAAAAGCATTTGTTCAGCACATTCACTGGGTTAACAAAGTTTGGGAAAGGAAGCAAGCACAAAAGGGGGTGGGGGAGAAAAAACGAGAGGAAGGATAAGGAACATTAATTCTCCGACACCCTCCTTTCAACACTCTAAGAATTAGAGTGCTTTGAGTGGAGAGGATCTTGAAAAAGTAATGCTTAGGAAGTGAAGGTTCTGATGTCGAGCTGAGAACCTCAGAATTAACTTCACCTGTTCACCAGGATGTCCCTGGCTTTCAGCCCGAGCAGATCCGGGAAGCTGAAGCCTCAGCCAGCTCTCAGGGAGACGTGAGCGGTGGCTCCAGACACTTTCCAGGAGCAGAAACAGTGCACCAGTCCTCCAGATAACCTTTTACACCCCGGAGTTTGTGGTGCTAAGATAAGCATCAGGAATCTTTGGGCTACTGAATAAATCAAGCGATTGCTTCTAACACGTTTCCATTTCATTCTCAATGAGTAAAGCAAACAGGTAAGAACAGAGCCACCCTGAAGGACTCCAGCACACTTGTTGTACAGCTCCTCTGCATGGTACATTTTGCTGTACATGCAGAGCCAGAGAGAAAATAGGACTTAGAGGAGTTTTTTGTTTTTGTTTCTGGTGAGTTTTTTTTTTTTTTTGAGTTTTTTTTCCCCGTTAGGAGTCGGAGTAGGAAAAGGACAAGAGGAGGATTTCTTTTTCTCAAAGAAAGTATGTATTTCATTTTTCAGAAGTATTCATGCTCATTTGGTGTCAACCAAAGAGGAAAATGGCCTCATCAATGTTATTACTTTTCAAGGACTCAGAGAAATTACTAAATAGAACCTAGTAATATCTTCCTTCAAATCTTTTATAAATGAGAAAACTACTGTTCCCAACTTCTGCCTAAATCACACAGCTAGAAAAATGTCAGTATCTAGACCTGCATCTTACGACTCCTGTTCACCAGATAAATCAATGATTCCACACGTTTTTCTCTATGAAAACTGATGGTCGCAACCGTAGCTATGCAAATGCTGTAGGGAGGGAAGCGCCGCAGCAAACATGTATTTATATTTTTAAATGTTAGCGGCATTATATAGGAATTGGAGATGAACTTCATCTCCATTCAAGGAAGTCTTTTACATTTCTGCTTAAGAGAAACCAGGCTGGAAATTCCATATTGATACTGACTGAAAAGTGATGATGAATTCTTCTAACCCATCCAGACAAGCACAAAATGTCAAACGACATTGGGGTAAATTGAGTGCTAAAAGTTCAAATGAGAACTTTAACCTCTGTTCTTTCTTTCCTTCTTTTTCCTTCTTTCCTTAGGTTGGCATTTCTTTGAAAGAGTTGTACCACCGCATTTTCAAGGTTCTGTTACAGAGTTTGCATAACAAATGTTTGGCAGCTCGCTCCCTTCCACTCCATTAACAAGCTGTAACGTATAGCTGCAGGTTGCTATAATCTCATTAATATTTTGGAAACTTGAATATTGAGTATTTCTGAGCGCTCATTCCCCATATGCCAGACCACTCCTGCCATGCTGGCTGGTTCCTTTCTCTCCATTATTACCAATTAGCTTCTACCTTCCAAAGTCAGATCCAAGTATCCAAGATACTAGCAAAGGAATCAACTATGTGCGCAAGTTAAGCATGCTTAATATCACCCAAACAAACAAAGAGGCAGCACTTCTTAAAGTAATGAAGACAGATAAATCGGGTTAGTCCTTTGCTACACTGCTGGTGCCTTCTAGAGTTTTAGATGCTTTAAGCAGCTTGCTTAACAGTCTGCTCCTCCCTCCACCCCATCGCCACTTTGTGGAGGGTTTTGGCTCGCTACACTCTTGGAAACTTATTTGATTTCACGGAGAGCTGAAGGAAGATTATTTTTGGCAACAGCCAAGTTTAACACGTCGTTTACAGGACATTGTTAGCTGAAGGGCTTGAATGACTAGGAAAAAAAAGGGAGGTTGAATGCCTTAATTTTAACCAGTACAGGGCCAACACTTTTATGAGTCCTCTGGGTTGGTTTGAGAGAGTTAAACCTGAATCAAGCAAGCAGGCTTCGATCAAAGGATATCTTGTAACATTTGAAACTCAAGAGGAAGATGAGGAACGTCCTCCTTCTCCCGGCCCCAAGCCCAGTTAGAGCTGGACGGGAACGCGGTGCGCCGCTCGTCCCCGCGCCGGACGCCAAGGCGCGGGCGGGAGCCGGACCCTCGGGGCCGTCGGGGCGAAGGCGCAGGACCTCGGGCGCGGACCGCGACAAAGCAGAGGCTTCGCGTCCCTCGGCGCCCTTGCGCCCTTGCCTCCGGTCCAACCAGGCCCAGACCCCGACCCTGAGCTGCCTTCCTCTCCTCTGGGCCCCTGGAAGAACAGAGGCGGCGGCGAACGGGTTAACTCCCGGCCGCGGGGAGCCGGCGGGAGCAGAGGAGCGGGGCGGGGAGGAGCGGGGCGCGGGCGCGGGGGCTCGGCGGCTCTGCCCGGGGCCTGGCAGCCCGGCCGGCGCGGCGTCTGGCGGGGCACGCGCTGTCAGCTGGTGAGCGCGCTCCGCTTTCAGCCGCTCCCCGGGGAGGGAGCGCGCCGCCCGCCCCCCCGCACGCGGGGCCCAGAACCCCGGCTGCAGGAGCTGGGGGGAGGGGTGGGGAGGAGGAGGGAGGGATAGAGGGGGAGGGTCGAATGGGGAGGAGGAAGCCACTAACAGGAGGTGGGGCGGGGGCGGGCATGGGGACCAGCGTGGGGTGTGGGGTAGCAGGTGCGCCTTCCGGAGCCTAGAATCTGGATTTCAGAGTGCTTCATGGCCTGAGCATCCTGTGCGTCCTAGATCGTTTCCTTCTTAGCCAAAGTCTCCTTTCCTCTGTCCTGTTACCCCAAGGGGCACGCTTTTATGCTGTCAGAACTCCCAGAACCTTAATGTTCCCTGGACAGTGCTGGTGCAAGGAGTTTGTTATCCAGGCGCCAGCCCAGACCGAGCTTTCCTCTCAGGATGAGCAGAGAGGGGTCAGCGTTGAGGCCTTTGTGCGTGGGGATCCCACTCCCTGTGTCAACTCTGCCCCCACAGTTCCAAGGAGCACCTTAAGCTCTCCACCAGTCCAGGGGCTGGTTAGGCCCATTCTACAGGTTCATTCTTCCTCCTAGGGAAATGAGAAGATTGCTCCAAGGCGTGCGAAGCCAGATGCCTTGCAAGATTAGTATTATAGCTGCTCTTTAAAAGAATTCGGATTGGAAAGTAGAGACCTGATGAAGGAGACAGTGTCCTAGGGCTCCGCTGTTTCGCCAGGGCTGCAGGGCACAGGAAAGATCTACCTGGATGATGAGTGAAAGTAGCAGCTAAGATCTCAGGTGCTGCCTTGGGGTTTCTCAAGCCAATTGATTCTTTGCTTTTGTGGGCCACTGGAATAGTTCACCATGATCCCACGCACCGTTTTGCCCCACCAGACTCCCCGAACTGGGGTGCTGGTGAAAGAGGGGCCAGGATTAGAAAAGATATGTAATGACCAAGGAGTCCCCCATTGTATCCCCCCACCCCCCGAAGCGTGGAGATCTAGAAAGCTGTAGGTGAGTAGGTGTCACTCTTAAACACAAAACTAGGAGATCCCTGAAAACACAGGCTCACCTGACCTGGTAGAAGGAAGGAAGTATGAGTCTTTTACTTTCAATAAGGTCATCAGCTTCTAGAAGCAACCTACCAAATGTGTACAGGGTTATTCATTTTCTTTAAGTTTTCTTCCATCCTGAGACATTGTGCTTCAGCATATGGAAGAATCCCAGGAATTTGCATCCAGGATTCCCAGGAGAATCAGACACAGGTGGGATGGATGACTTCTAAAACATGTGCCTAAAGGAGCTCCCACTGGATCCCTTCTTGAGATTGTTTATTTACTCGGACATTGCCTGCTAATCCTCCTTCAATTGCACTTGTAATATCCACAGAGTTTTCCAGAATAAGACAGAAGCAGAACACTCAGCTTCTAGGACCCTATGACCTGATTTGTTGTGTTTAGGCAACAGGACATTGAGTATATTTTGCTTGGCATTAAAATCTTAACTCCAAAAATGGTATCAGCTGCCCCTGTGGGAATAGGGACATCCTTATAGG